TCCGGGATCCTGATTCCCTTCTCGATTCGGACCTCGTACTTTCTGGATGCTTGTAGAACACAGGTTCTATTTCATATCAAGTCTTCTTATTTTTACTCAATATGGGGATCGCGATAATCGGATCTGAGTAGCATGTTATGTCGCCGGATCCTCGATCTTCGCTCTCGTTTTCTGAGTAGGTAAACTCACAATAGTTCAAGTATATCAAGTTGACGTGTTCACGTGTAGGCGTAACAAAAAGAAGGTAGATTAGTGTTTGTCTTAGAGACTTGGGAGCGTGACCGCAGAGTCCAAGGGACGATTGTTTGAAGCCGATCACGCAGTGCATTTTTATGAAGGGTTTTTAGAGCACTAGCTTCGCTCTTTTAAAGTCTTTAGTGGGCAGCCCTTACCGACGGAGATGGAAATCCGTGAGGTAGGGTGAGGTGTGACAATTTTAGGGTCGACCTTTTCTAACCTTTCTTTCCTTGTGAGAAGGCAGCATCGCTGTAGACGCTGGTTTTCCGACAGAAACACTTTACTGCTGTCACACCCCTCTACAGTCAGCAGCACGACTTCGCCCTCAGACCTTGAGTAGCTGCTTTTAGTCTCATCGCTCTCCAATCGACCAGCCTGGCATGGTAGAACCTTCAGGAACATAAGTCCCAGCCAGTATAGCTCGGTTGGGTCATCACGATAGGCAAGCCCGACCACCACGTCAATGTAGCAGCTACGATATGAAGATAATATTTTAATCGTGCTAATTATGCTTATAGCATCAAGAATACTACTGATGAAAGTTCAGTTAATTGTCCTGTGCTGTGCTTCACACTCTGACCACTAGACATGGATATATGGACCAAATATTCACTCTTCATCAGCTTTCAAAACATAAACATACAAACACCTATGGATATTCTACGATAGTGACGTTCATTGATTTTAAAGCAGCATTCAACTCTGTTGATCGATAAATTTTGCTGCTCTGTTATTAAGAACTACACCAAAGAAACCTATACACTTTGTAAAGACTATCAATTTATACACTGTCGGTTGAGTTACTGTTTATCGTGAACTATCACTCACAGAATGATCTCCTGACTACAGAATATGCATTTCACGATTTAGAGTACGCGAATGATATGATCTGATGAAATCTCAGCACCGCTCGTCAAGACAGTCAGTGGGTGATTGGACATACTTAGCACATGTCATAACCACTTCGACTGATCAACATTCACCACTTCATCAATTGATTTGCCATTCTTACTTAGTATTTGTATCCTTACAACAGCATAGCTTACTCTAATGTCCCAGGATATTCGAGCAATGCATCGAAGACACCGATGGTCAAATACTAATGATAATAGCCTACGAATATTCTCTGAAGCGAACTGCTGTGCAGTACACTCGTCTTTTGGTTAGCAGATAGATAGCTATGGGCGGCCAAACCAAAATATGGCAGAAATCCATGAAGTCATTGACGAGTGGACTTAGCCATGTCGGTAGTTGTCAGCTACCTGGCTCGAGTCCGCGAGATGATGATAATCGATGGTTAGAGACCCTGAATGACAGACAGACAGATAAAACACAGAACTTCGTGCATTAGCACATCAGTTTATGTTGCTATGCCCCATCGGCATAGAGACGCAACTGTCAGTTCAAATCCAAGAGTGATAGCAATAATACAAGTATTAGCAGTAATGGAGAAGATTAGGGAGCGAAGATATGATTCGAGAAGTATAATTCAATGAGATAAACTTAGAAGCAGAGATTATGAGGAATCCAGAAGCCTAGACTTTCATAGAACACAAAGAGTGGATGCACCTGCGCAATTGAAAACGATTCTCAGCCATGTCATGGCTCAAAACCGTTAGCAATCGCGCCAGTGCATTCATTATTTGTGTTCTCTCTTATATCCTAATCTTCTGGATTCTTCAACACCTGTAGTTTTGTCTTTCTAAACTTATCTCACTGAATTATACTTCATGAATAATATCTTCCAATCCTAACCTCTCCGATTACTTCTAATACCTTTACTACCTCATCTACTATTGGATTTGAATTGACAATTGCGTCTCTATTCTAATGTGGTATGGCAACATGAACTGATGTACTTACGTACAAAGTTCTACGTTGTATCTGACTGACTGACTGAAATATCTCGTCTACTTCATAAGTGATGCAAGTTAGCAAAAGCTAGTCGAACCTTCAATATCCGTGTATTTAGATTTCATCAATCAACAAGCCATTTGGACTCCCGAGTTGTGCTTAAATAAGTCAATAAATAAACAAATGATACATACTGGATGGATTGATATACGCTACAACAATACATACCATAGGTACTGTAGGCGACGATTTCATCATATAATTATTATTAGGCATCGATGATATTTGCTGGTTATATGAATATACATTCGGAGGATTTCCTGGTAGTAAATAAGGATTTGTCTGATTGACGGCCGCGGCGGCGGCCGCCGCCGCTGCTGCTGCGTCGGCAGTCACAGCACCGGTATTAGGCAACATTCCGGTATAATAAGCATTGGATGACAAATTTTGACGTGCCATCACATCATGATACAATTGAAATGCATCCAGTAAGCGTTGATTCAATTCGGTCAGCATAATCATCTTTTTATCGATTAATTTTAATTCAGGATCAACAAGTGGAATCATTGCAGTACATTCAGCTTCCAGTTGACTTAATTCCGGTGGATCTTGTTGATATTCACCAGTAGGATCAACAGTAGTAATTAAACGTAAACACTCGTCGATTTTTTTCTCATCCAGCTGTGGAATAAATTTTTTGACAGATTGATGATGATGATCACCATGATCATGATTTTCTCTGTTTGTATGCTGTGAAGAAATTTCACCGGGATTCGACTGGACAGATTTACCATTGTCCAGTGTACAACGTTCAACAAACTGGGCAGGGAATAAACCTTGATGACCATGATGATTACTGCCAAACCACCAATTCTCATCGGAATCATTTAAGAGTAGAATGAATTCATTAGCTCTGAATGATAATTCATTATCTTCTGCGGCTTCAAAATCATACAGCGCTTTGACGTATCCTTTGGAATTGTAAGGATTTGCTGTTGTTGTTGATGATGATGTTTTCGGAGTGTTTGACGGTAATGACGATGATGATGTTGTCGATGTTGATGTGGAATAATTTGACAATGAACTAAATGGAATTTGTGAAAATGATGGATATAAACTAGACTTTTGATTTGAATTGGACATGGACTGTGTGTTTGGTTGAGATGATAATGATGATGATGATGAGGTTGTTGCATTGTCAGTCTCTTTCAATGATAAAGCAATAGCTGTATGTGTGTGTGAGAGAGAGAAATAAACATGAAAATGTGATTAGGCAGAAATCTATTTCCCACAAAAGATAATAATAATAATAACATTTGCAAAAGCATACAAGGTATGTGAGCATGGATTTAAACGAAACATTAATATTTTGTCCATTTGAGTTATGGAGATTCGTGTTTTTACACACTGAAATACTCAATTAAACATTGTTAGACCACTAATAGAAACCTGGAAGCACTGGACTGCTCGTTTCATCCTGGTATGGGACTCATAAGCAATGCGCATCCACCATTCCTGACACTCATAGGAATCAAACCCAGGACCGTCGGTCTTGCGTGCGAATGCCTAACCTCTGAACCACTCACTGGGCCGGCATCCAACGGTGTTAATGTCTAACTGTGATCAATCTAAGGATTTTGCGCGACCTCACCCATTTGTCTTTGGTAGTTACTGCCTACACCCGACAGGGTTGAACTCCACTGGTCACGTGTTCTCACTGGAATTCCGAGAATTTCCTCACGAAGCTAGTCACTAATGAGCACATTTTGATAGAACAGTGATAAAACGTAAGTGATCTAAAAAATGTTGTGCTGTATTTGCGCTATGCATTCTGAACAAATAGGTTATATATATATATATATATATATATATATATATATATATATATATATATATATATATATATACTTGTCAAGGCATTTTAAACGAAGATTAATCAAAGTTCAAATAGACATAAGGTGATAATTGTAAATTAAGGGCCTAGGCCATTAAATGGCATTAAATTTTACCAGGATAACTTCAAGGCTATAATAGAGCGGGGTTTTAATTTACGAATAAACAAGGCTTCTATAAACTTCAAAACTCATTCTTCAACATTTCTATACAATGCTTTGAAGGCTGTCTTGATGTCAATCCTATGCCCTGTGTCAATTATGTGTTTTGCGATCGATGAACATGGTTTTCTGTTTCCCACATTTATCAGGTCATCTGAAGTTAAATGATTTTGAAGCCACTTAGTTACATATTCCATAACCCTTGGTTGCTAAGTTCGATTACTCCTCGCTGTATATAAGTGTCCACACGAACATGTAAACTGATAAACGCAATGGGATGTGATGTAATCATAGTTCGAGCATTGTCTGGGCGTATGTGGAATCATGGGCTTAGTCTTTTTAATGATAATCAGTATAGCAGCGTAGTATGTTTTCTCTATGGCCGTCTTAAGATTAAACCATATGACTCACCTCTAAATGGTAAAGTGATGTAAACATTCAGCAGAATGACAGACAGACTTTTGTCTTAACTAATTTCTACACCTATTGATGAACTTTAGTGGATAACTGTTTAAAAACAATGTTTCAGTCAAGAATTTCGCATCGCTTTCAAATGTATCCGTGATGCATATTCTTTGTGCCCCTCATTGAAGAGGCAATTTTATCAAGCCTCGCTTGTGTTGCAATGAACAAACACTGTTAAAATTTAAATATTATCCAGTCTAGGTTGGTTTTCTATAAAAACTGACCACTTAATAGTTTCATTCTCCCTTCAAATCAACAGTATGTCTATAAAAAAGGGCAACTGGTCATTACTTTCTGCTTTGTAGGTTAGAACAATGCCATATATTTTAAAGACTATTGAAATTATTCAGTAACACTGAGAGAGATTGAATTCTTCATCGTATATCATCCATATATCTTCTGTACAAGGTAACCTTACTTATACATACAGTATAGATTAATTCTAAATGAACATTTTCCCCCCATAGTTATGCGTGCCTATGATTGTCTGTTTAAATAGAGACTGCTTTATTTTTTAATCAGGATGGGTGTGTCCTGTCATCATTGAAATTCAACCATAACTAAGCAGGAAGACTATTTAGTGGAACGTATGAAACATAGAACCTGGATACATATGTGGATCGGTTCAGATGATCATAAGACACAAACTAACAGGTGAAAAGAATTTCAGGTCTCAAGTACTAAGGGAAGATATGGCGTGAATGTACCTGCGCTACTGACAACAATTCTAAGTTTGACCATTCAAAATCTTTAACCACTAGGATACAGCGACCACACACACAAACAACAACCAATCTGCGACCTGAACTTATGTACTTAAGTACGAAGTTCTACGTTATAACTGACTGACTGACTGACTGAATCTGTACCTACCTATATGAATGTGAAATTCTTAAATATTGAATAGTAAAACGAGAAAAAGACTTCGCAGATGATCTGACACTTTTAATGCACACGCAACAACAAATGCAAGAGAATACGACCAGTGTAGCAGTAGCCTCAGCAGAAGTAGGTTTCAACATACACAAAGGAAATAGCAAAATTTTCCGATACAACACATGAACAAACCAAATCACACTTGCTGGAGATACCTTGGAGGATGTAAAATCTTTTACATATTTGGGCAGCGAAATCGATGAGCACGGTGGATCGGAAAAGTAGGGACAAAATTTCTACAATCTGGGAACATCTGGAACTTAAAACAACTTTCAACCAATGACAAAGTCACAATTATCAGTACAAATGTCGAGACATTTATACTGTATGAGGTGGAAGATTAAAGTGGTTCATTAACAACTGTCTACGCAAAATACTTCAGATTCGCTGGCCAGATGCTATCCGCAACAACCTACTGTGGAAGAGAACAAAACAGTTTCTGGCAGAGGAAGAAATCATGAAGGAAACTGCAAGGAAAGCACCCAACTGCGTCACAAGACAAGGCCTCACTTGGAACCCTCAAGGTCAAAGGAAAAGAGGAAGACCAAAAAACATATTACGCCGAGAATCAGAAACTGACATGAGAAAAATGAACAACGATTGAATAGAACTGGAAAAGACAGGCCCAGGACAGAGTAGGCTGGAGAATGATGCTGGCCAGGGGCCTATGCTGCATTCGACGGTAACAGGCGTAAGTAAGTAAGCAAGTAATCGTAATAAAATATTGACATAAGATATACACTCTACAGCTTATACACGTTCAAACTACCTTACTACTACTAGTAGTGTAGTGAACGAGAACACAGGTGGGGCAACCGAATTGTATTCAACGAAAATTACAGAGTAAAATTGGAAAACCATATCGTAAATCGTTCATTTGCAAAATATCAGTCCATCATATCGAACTGGACTGTTCCTGTTGCAAAACATCAATCCATTGTCACTACTATTCATGCGTTTCATACAAATTCCATTGTGTTCTTCTAACTCTTCCTTTCTTGATCTTCCCCCCATCTTCGGCTGCCAGACATTACGTTGACGCTCACGTCATATACTACTTATAAGTAGCTCACACCACAGTAGCATTAATAGTAGTGATCAAGGTTACTTGTACTAATTAATCTTAGACATCTTTCATTGATCAGAATTAAGTAATCGCGATTGATCAACAAAAACTAGAATACTTTGACTACAGAGTTAATATGAATAACTCCGGATATTTGATCAGTACATTTTTCTTTCCAATTCGTCTTCTTGTATTTAGAGATAACAAGCAAGCTTTGAAATCAAATGTGTAACGTTTTATGACCAGGACCAGGTTCCGGATCCCTAGTCCGGGATCCTGATTATCTTCTGGACTCGGACCTCGTACCCTCTGGATGTTTGTAGAATACAGGTTCTACTCCACATTCAAGTCTTCTTATTTTTACTCAATATTGGGTGTTGGGATAATCAGATTTCGGGTAGCCTATCGTTTCGCCGGACCCTCGATCCTCGCTCTCATTTTCCAACTAAAGTAAACTTGTAATAGTTCAAGCATATCAAGTTGACGTGTTTACGTGCAGGCGTAATAAATGATGTGTGCAATAAGAAAGAAGCATACCTATATACATATACACCTCATAAAAAAACGAAGTTATCAGTTCATCTCACCTTGTGCTAAATCCTCTTCTTCTTTAGCTTGTAATTGTGCAACAAGTTGACGTGATTGACCATGTTTAGCCATCTAATATATAAAAGTAATAATACTATAAATAGTAACGATTACGCCATAGACAGATAGATAGATAGATAGACACATAGATATAGAGCTAAAACAACACAATGTTTTTGCTGTGTAATTTGTAGCAGATAACTGAACTGTTGTTGTACAATCACCTTTTAGCGGACCGATTAACTGTCACCATATACGGTGTGTTCTTAACTAATTGTGTGCTACTAACGCCAACACCTTCTAACCTTTTATAGGTATGATTGTGCTTATTTAGTGTGTTGAGTGGTGGTTATGCATTGCGAGTATATTATTGCATGAGTAGTGGAGTTGCAAATGAATAAAGTAATAGATAGAAGAGAACTAATCTGCATCCTGTACCCACACCCGTCTTTTGGCTGACTACTACTGAGCACGAGTACCAATGTAGGAGTTGATGTCTTCCTATTGTTTGTTTTGTCAATGAGTTAATGTCGGTCAGTAGGTCATTGATTCTACTGACAATATATTGTGAATCAATCGATAATCGAAATCTTAATTTAGCAATATAACACATGATATAGATTTGGACTCAACTAGATCACATCACCATTAGCCACCGATGGAGTGGTTCGATAGAGGACTGTCACTCGTTCTGGGGCACATGTTTGGATTCAGATCATACTCCAGTGCGAGCTCGTATCTGTTTGAGGCTTACTGGACGTAGGAAAGACACCGTAACGAAGCCTCTTAGGGTTTTACTTAATGATAATCAAACCAAGAAAATATTTCAGGAGCAACTAGAGAGTTAAGCAACAAAGCAAGCGATTCCTATCCAGAATCAGGTTGGTATGATATCAAAAAGGCTGTGGAAACAGCAGTGATATCTTCTAGTAAGGTAAACCATAAGGCTAGGATGGAGCTGTGGATCTCAATAGCATCTACCGAACCGATGGATGCTCGAAAACTCATCCCGCCTGGCTCTGAGAAGCGGAGTCAGCT